AGACGTACTTGGTCATGTAGGGCTGGAAGCACTGCGGGAGGCCGACTACGTTTACTTGGAGAGCTACACTAGCATCTTGGTCGGCCAAAAGCCTGATGACTTACGAAAAGCGTAGCAACCGTTTGTTCTGTCGTTGCGGCCCAGCTGAGGTGACAGGTACGGTATCGATGTGCCCTTCATAGAGGCCGATCGCCATCTAGTTGAAGGCGGCTGTGAGGAAATGCTGCAAAGGGTAGCTCTACGTGGTAGAAAGTAACAATGGTTTAACCTGGTGCTCTATAGGCTACCGAAAACAACGTATGTTTCTGTGTTGTTGGAGATGCGTTGTGTGCGACTACGCATACGGACCTGTTCTTGCGAGCTAGAGCTAGGAACATCGAGGTTGGTATTTCACTATGTGTATCGCAGCATATGTTAACTCAGGTGTCGGTAGTTCATAATGCCAGTATTATGAACGCTATAGCTTGCTGTGGGCTCCATCTGTAGTAAACGGGAGGGAGATAATAGTGAATGCTCAGATTTCACAGTGAAATTTTCACTAGGTTGTTTGGAAATGTCTTGAGAAATGTGTCCGTTGAAAATGGTGTAGAATGCGGTGCTTCGGGTGGTCGAAAATGAACTAACTGTAAATATTCGGTCGATGTTGGCCCTCTAGCGACACTGCGATCCGTGGCCAGGAAGCTATTCAGAGTTCTTCCATGCTTACTGTCTATGCACCACAACAAAGTTAATATTGTTTCTCATTGAATACTCCCGTCCTGGACTCTTTCATTTGTGCGAGATGCTCCAAACAATCTCGTTTTCGGCGGAGTGCCCAGAAGGCATGAAGATTTGAATCACTGTGATTCTACTATGCTTGACATGTCGTATGGAAACCTCTAATGAGACATTAGTATTATTCACAGGTACCGATTCGGAGAGACAGTGTCAATTTGTTTTTGGGACGACTCATGGAAGCCTGATAGTTATTTCGACAAAATCGCAGACAATGCCAAGCGGGGATTGCACACTTTGTGCTTGTTGGACATCAAAGTGAAGGAGCAAAGTGTTGTTAACCTAATGAAGGGGAACGAAATTTATGAACCTCCGAGGTAGTATTTCCCGGGTTGGTGAATTTCGTTGCGAGTGATAGAAATCCGCATAGGTTCATGTCGGTGCAGACAGCATTAGAACAGCTTATGGAGATCGATGAGAAGCGAGGCAATCCTGGAATTGTGGGCAAAGATTCCCTCGTTGTGGTACGATCAGGATCTATCTCCCCATGGTATCTCGCTCAATGATCCGTACAGGGTGTCGCACGTGTTGGTTGCAAAGATCAGTCAATTGTCTTCGGTCGCGCCGAGGATGTGGCCTCCGAGAAAGCATCTGAGAAGCTCGGCGGTCCTCTCCATTCGCTTGTAATCTGTGCGCAGGTAACCAACCGTGATGGCGTTTTATGTTGTTCATTTCTCACATGTTCAGGGTGCTGAAGGGCTACAAGAGATGGAAGAGAGTTTGTTAAGCAATACCAAATATAATGTACCCAAATCGATAAAGATGTTCCTTGTGGTTTCTGAGACTATGTTGGTGTTCGATCTCAGTTGGTC